GCGTCGACCGATATAACCACCGATTTGGACACCTAAGACATTCCGCTAGATTACGGGACCTGGATATTATTATTATACCATACTATACCAGTATAATTCAGTCGGGTTTAATTACAATTAGCGAGAAAAATTCCCGTTTTTGCATAGTGGGATGACAATACAATGTTTCACCTAAATTTTTTTGAGTGGCCGATAGGTCAACCCTACTAAAAAGGATTTAGGTAACTTGCAAATTGTATTATTATGACATAAATTTAATTTATTATTAGTATAATTAAATTATAATTTAACATTTTAAAAAATGATTACCTGCATTGTGTATTTATTAAAAATGAGCACGACGCACTCTATTTAATTAATTTGATGCATTATTTCAAAATTAAAAAGTCAATGTTATAAGTTGTACATTTTGTCAAATATGATAAAAGTTTAATAAATTTTATTATCTAACGTTAATAAAATAAGTGAAACCACTTGAATTCTAAGAAATATTTTATTATATAGAGTATTGTTATATAATCTGCAAAAATTAATATATTTATTAAATATTAAATATAAAATTGTATGCCTTAATAATACCGAAAGATAAAATTGAATTATAATTGCATTTATAAATATAAATAAACAAACTAAATTATTTAAAACATAATTTAAATAAATCAAACATTCACAAAATTAATTTATTTATTTATTTATTAATATTAGTTAATTTATTAAATATTCACAATAAATATTATATCATCAGTTCCAAAAAACCGGTTAATTCAAACCACCTTGTCACACTTACAAAAATTATCTTTAGATAATGAGTTAATTTTGTTGGAATAAAGATACTGTTAATTTGGTAATATATGTCATATATCTATAATTTTATTCGTATATTAAAATAAAAATTTCTAGAAAATTATAAGTTAAATTCTTTATTAAAATTTAAAATAATAAAATTTTACTGTCATATAATAAATGTTAGGAAAAATAAAATTAATGTTTATAAAAAAATTAATCCTTTAGACTCTTGTATCATTTTATCATAACGTTAATATTTTTATAACATACAGATATATTTATTGTTGAAATAATAATTATATTAAATATTTCTTAGTTGTTTAAATTACTAAATTGTAAAATTTAAATATAATTGTATATGTAATCTAATGTTTTGAATTCTATTATCTATATCTAAAAGTATATCATATAATAATATCTTAATATATTGATAGTTCATTTAATTTGAAAGCAAAGCACTTAAAATTAATCATTTCTATTATCTCAAGTTTTCAAGATAAAGTATTTACACTTATTTAATACAGTAGAAGAAACAATGATTGCAAGCAATGTTATAGAAACCCACAATTACAGTTAAGTTATTATTGAATCAAATATAATGTTAACAATTTTACATATTGTAGTACAGACCGATAAACCTCACGAAATCAATGCCATTCGTGTCAACAGTTTGATGTAAATTTGTTTTTGAAATTAATTTTTGTTATAAAGGGGTCATCCAAAAAGTATGGGTATAAGGGATGGAGTAGTGGTCAGGAAAAATATGTGGGTATGATTAAATTTTTTATGCATGGTGTGTTCATATAGTGTTTGTACATTTTTATAATTCTATTTTTTACGTACTTTTAGAATATAACAATATATTAATTTGTTGAGCTATATCTCTAATTATAAATATATTACTTTTAAAAATACTAATTTGTTTATTATGCATTTTAATTAATTAAGCAAAATTTAGCTAGTTTATTTTTATTCGTATTTTGGCAATAAACTCAATGATTATCCATTTGTAGTCCGCGTGCTATTAATGTGGGAAAATGGGTCTCAAATGAAGATCACCCACCGTTGGGACGGGACGGACAGCCGGTAGACATCGCCAAAGGGGTGGTATTCCTGGCCTCAAGCGACGCCTCATTCATAACCGGCGCTAATCTGGTGGTCGACGGCGGGCTTATCTATAATTTAGGATAACTATATGCTTGATGAAAATAACCGAAATAAAAATAACCTTGGTACAATAAGTGTTAACATAAATTTTATTTATAATTTAGAACCACAAAATATTTGTATACAAAATTATTTTAACTGTAATTGAACAATTATAAATTATAATCCATTGTATTACTTAGAGCAAAAAGACCATCGTAGGCCCATCGACGACTCATATGCCAAACCGCGTCCACAACACTAAACTCCGTAATCTTTAATCCATTGCCACTATACTCTCCCTCCAGATGTCTATTTGTTGATCAACTGATAGGTACTCAGGTTTTCGGTCATTTATGGCTAACTTTTTGTTCAAATCAGAGATGACTATAAAGTTTGCGTGAATTATGCCGTTTGGAGCCAATAGTCTGGATATAACATCCAGTAATTGCCTCTTATTTGGTATGAAATGTAGTGTAAAGTTAGAGAATATGAGCTCTACTTTGCCCTCCAGTTGTCGCTTAAGATCTGATCTAAACTGATCCCATTCTACACCCAAGTCTTGTA